ATGGGAAGTAATAGGAATTAATAACAACTCATGGGAATTAATGGGAATTAATTATGTCTAATCAGAATTACTGGGAAATAGTGGGAATTAATTCGACTTAATAGTACTTAATGGTACTTAATGTGAATTAATGGTAATTAATGGCAATTAATGGGAATTAATTGGAATCAATGGGAATTAATTGGAACCAATGGGAATTAATTGGAATCAATGGGAAATTAATGAAACTTAATGGAAATTATTAGGAATTAATTGGAATTAATGAGAATTAATGGTAATTAATGGGAATTAATGGGAATTAATGGGAACTAATTGGAACTAATGGAAATTAATGGGAAATAATGGGAATTAATGATTATTAATTGTAATTAGAACTAATGGGAATTAATCGGAATTAATGGGAATTAATCGGAATTAATCGGAATTAATTATGTTTAATGGAAATTAGTGGGAATTAATGGTAATTAATGATGTTTAATGATGTTTAATTAATGGAAATTAATTGTAATTAATGGAAATTATCCCTTAATTAATTAATGCTTTGAATTGTAAACAAGTCTAGTATGATTCTGATGCCTCCAGCGGCAACTAGCGAACTCTGCAAAATAAATTCACCATAGAAATTAAAGGAGAACCGTGAAATTCATTGCAGGACGGATGTTTGCTGAATCCAAATTCACGAGGAAGTGATCCAGAGTTCCAATTGATAAGTGCTAGTACCACTAGTCGGGTAGCAATAAATTTCAGAATTGATCTCGGTGACGAAAAAATCAAAGTGTGATTGATAGTTGAAAGGTTGCATAATCAAAGGAACCAACCGTTTCCTAATTCACCGCATCAGGTCACGAAAACTGCGTTGCTCACCTTCTTGCTCAATGACCTGCAGCGAGAACGTGATTGCCACAACAACCAAAAGTGTCAAGCTAGTTTGTCTTGTTGATGGATTGGATTCGGCAGTGGAGTCAATTTGATGTGTAAAAATAAGAATGCCACAAAGAATTGAAATTTCGATTTCTAGCATTCTAATTGGGATTCCAGATCCAGGTCCCAGTCCGATTCCAAATCCAAGTCCGAATGCAAATAAATAAGCATGAGTTCCATGACATGAATCATCAAATAATCAATACCTTTCCCTGCAGATTGCTTTGATCTGCAACCGTTCTACATTGGAATCTTGTTTCCAGACGGATACTCTCTTCACAAAGAGCAAGGCCTGTACAACTGGGCGACCATGTCCTCCGAGTACAGAGCATAAGATTCGAGAGCCTCAGAGATGCGCGCCCTATGCTGGTACCTACATTAATTATTCCAGCTTTAGAACAAACGAAGATTGATTGAATCTTCAATGGCACTGGCGCGCAGTAACTCAATGGGGTCAACCGATAAATGCAGACCGTGATCAAGTCACTTTTTTAATCTCAGCAAGGCAATTGGTCGTCCACCCTGTAACTGGACAAACAGTGCGCCGTTGGAAATTCGCATGGTGCTCCAAATCCATCTGTATTACAGATCGTCAAAGGGTGAGGATATTGACGAAAAACAATATTAATACCAATTAACTAAGCTCAATTTTAACCAATTCCAGATGTCCATACCTCACTCTTGAAGAACTGCTTCGTTGTGCTCGCAAGAAATTGAAGCCACTACTTCCAACGCATTTCATGTTTCGGATCCTGCTGCTAATGCATCCACCAATGGATCTGACCAAAATGTTTGTCTTTTTGGATAATTATATCTGATAGACAAACAAAAAAATCAATATTTCAACATGCTTCACTTTTGGGATACAGTGAGCAGAAAAAGACCACAGCTCCAGCTTTCTGTCAAAATTATCTGGATCAGTCGATATGGAATTCGCATCAAATTCCAAAGGTCTTGTGGTACCAAATGCATTTTCATCGACCATTCGACCATGATCAGAAATCAGAGCCTGGAGCAAACAAAGCGTATCACTTTGCGTCATTAGGATCTTTATCCTTTTTCTCATCATCATTGCCGTTCACGTCCTCAGGCGCGTCCTCAGGCGCGTCCTCAGGCGCGCCCTCAGGCTCAGCCTTGCGCTTCGAAGCCTGATTCCGGAGATAGGCGATGCCAAAGCTTACTTGTTGTCAAGTTTGTGTTCGGGAAAACATGATGAGGTTTCAAGTTTAATGCTTACATTTACATTTTGGGTGAACGCGGTCTGAACCCCAGCTGAGTTAACGTTAATGGAACTCATTGGGAATCTGCAGACTTAACCCATTAGAATTGAGGTTTGAAATATTTAGAATTACGGGGAGTTACGGGGAATTACGGTGAATTACGGAGAATTACGGAGAATTAAGGAGAATTACGGGGAATTGCGGAGAATCACGGGGAATTACGGGGAATTACGGGGAACTATGGGAATTACGGGGAATGACCGGGAATTAAGTAAGGGATTTAAGTAAGGGATTTAAGGGGAATTAAGGGGAATTAAGGGGAATTAAGGTGAATTAAGTGGTATTAAGGGGAATTACGTGGGATTAAAGGAAATTACGGTGAATTACGGGGAATTACGGGAAATTAAATGGAATTAATGGGAATTAAGGGTAATTAATTAAGGGAAATTAAGATGAATTACGCGGAATTAAGGGAAATTAAATGGAATAAGGGGAATTAAGGGAATTTACAATGAAATTAAAGGGGAATTACGGGTGATTAAGGAGAATTAAGGTGAATTAAGGAGAATTACGGGAAATTAAGTGCAATTCAGGGGAGTTACGGGGAATTACGGAGAATTACGGGGAATTAAGGGGAATTACGGAGAATTACGGGGAATTAACGGGAATTAATGGGAATTACGGCGAATTACGGGGCACTATGGGAATTACGGGGAATTACGGGAAATTAAGGAATTTAAGGTGATGGGGATTAAAAGGAATTAAGTGAGATTAAGAGGAATTAAGAGGAATTAAGTGGAATTACGATGAATTACGGGGAATTACGGTGAATTAAGGTGGAATTACGGGAAATTAAATGGAATTAATGGGAATTAAGGGTAATTAAGGGAAATTAAGATGAATTACGGGGAATTAAGGGAAATTAACTGGAATAAGGGAAATTAAGGGAATTTAAAATGAAATTAAAGGGGAATTAAGGGTGATTAAGGAGAATTAAGGTGAATTAAGGAGAATTACGGGAAATTAAGTGCAATTCAGGAGAGTTACGGGGAATTACGGAGAATTACGGGGAATTAAGGGGAATTACGGAGAATTACGGGGAATTAACGGGAATTAATGGGAATTACGGGGAATTACGGGGCACTATGGGAATTACGGGGAATTACGGGAAATTAAGGGATTTAAGGTGATGGGGATTAAGGGGAATTAAGATTAAGAGGAATTAAGAGGAATTAAGAGGAATTAAGTGGAATTACGAGGAATTACGGTGAATTACGGGGAATTACGGGAAATTTATTAATGGAATTAAGGGTAATTAAGGGAAATTAAGATGAATTACGGGGAATTACTGTAAATGGAATAAGGGGAATTAAGGAAATTTAAAATGAAATTAAAGGAGAATTAAGGGTGATTAAGGAGAATTAAGGTGAATTAAGGAGAATTACGGGAAATTAAGTGCAATTCAGAGGAGTTACGGGGAATTACGGAGAATTACGGGGAATTAAGGGGAATTACGGAGAATTACGGGGAATTAACGGGAATTAATGGGAATTACGGGGCACTATGGGAATTACGGGGAATTACGGGAAATTAAGGGATTTAAGGTGATGGGGATTAAGGGGAATTAAGTGAGATTAAGAGGAATTAAGAGGAATTAAGTGGAATTACGAGGAATTACGGTGAATTACGGGGAATTACGGGAAATTAAATGGAATTAAGGGTAATTAAGGGAAATTAAGATGAATTACGGGGAATTAAGGTGAATTACGGGGAATTACGGAGAATTACGGGTGGAATTACGGGAATTACGAGGAATTACGGGGAAGTACGGGGAAGTACGGGGAAGTACGGGGAAGTACGGGGAATTACAGGTAATTACACGGAATTAAAGGGAATTTCAATGGGAATTAAGGCGAATTACGGGGAATTACGGCGAATTACAGGGAATTACGAAATTAATGGGAATTAAATGGAATTAAGGGTAATTACGGGGAATTAAGTTGAATTAAGGAGAATTACGGGGAATTACGGTGAATTACGGAGAATTACGGGGAATTAAGGAGAATTACGGGGAATTACGGAGAATCACGGGGAATTACGGGGAATTACGGGGAACTATGGGAATTACGGGGAATTACGGGGAATGACCGGGAATAATCCACGAACTAGTGGCATATCTGTGAATACGTCCGAGTATTTTTTTTGACGGCAGGTTTGCTCACAATTCTGCATATTTCTCCCGAGCCCGAGCCTTCTTCGCAGGACTCTTCTCGCTCACCTGACAGGTATGGCCAACAGCAAATGAGAAATTTGTGCACAAGTGAAGGAAAAAATACAATATATATTTATTTAATTATATATATATGTGTGTGTAAAGGATTTCCGTGTATTTTTCTGAATTTTATGGATTTGAATTCCAGAAATTCTTTTGAGTTCTGTGCAATTCTAGTGAAATCGTTGGAAGTCTGTGCAATTCGTGGATCGAATTCTTGGACTTGCGAGGAAGTCTACGGAATTCTTTGAAATCTTTGGAATTCTGGAATTTTGTGAAATTGTATTGAATATAATTATGGGAATTTGATTCAATTCAAAAAAAATCGTAGATGATAGTTGATTTCTTGAAGTACCTTCGTATCTATGGATTTTTGGAATATATTGTCATTTAATAGATTTCATATATGCAAATATTAGAATTTGTCAGAATTTACATCAGTTTATGATGAAGAAGACGCACATACAGAAGCTAAAATGAAATTAACGGACCGTGTGAACTGCTGGTTCGTCATTTTTTGTGCGAATCCCTAAATTATGCTTGGATGTAACATGTGATATGAACACACTTCCCTCAGCACTGCCCGCCTGCGGAGACACAATTGAATCAACTTTCGCCTTCTTCTTCAAGGGCGTGCCCGGCGTCTCCTCGTTCTCCCCTGCATGTTCGGTCTGTTCACCTTCTGCATCCTCCGCATGCTCCGTGTTCTCTGCGTCAACCTCCTCTTCCTCCGGATCTTCGCCCAACTTGAGCGTCACAGCATCATCAAAGTCGCTCCGGCGCCAAATGTCATCGTCATCCTCTACTTCGAATACCTGTTCCTGGTATTCCTCTTCGTCATCTTCTGCCCATTCCTCGTCGGCATCTTCATCCCATGCTTCACCATCCAAGTCTTCATCAAGCAACTCATCGTCCTTGGATGCACTTTCAGGCTCCTTGGTCTTTGCCTTCATTCCAGGAAGTGGTGGCGCGAAGTGGCTCGGGGTCACAGCAGCGCCACCAGATCCGGAAGTGGTGTGGTCTGCGATGTAGGTGAGGCAGTCATACGCGGCACCTTCATCCGAATGGACAACTGGCATGCCATCAATGAAGTAGATCTGCCACATCCTAATGCGTCAAACTGTAATTCAGGGAATTTTCATAGGGAACTGATGTGGAATTAATGGAATTCATACGCAATGTAGTTTACAAGGACATCCATGGAATTGTCATAGAAATGAATGCAATTCATAGGGAATGTACATTGTACGGAAACTCCTGGAATTTTCATAGGGAATGAATGGAATTAATAGGGAACTGATTGAATTATTAGAATCAATGAAATTAATGGTGAATATAGATTGTATATACGGAAAATGAATGATTTTTGATAAGGAATGAATGGCATTAGTATGGAACCAATGGAATCAATAGTGATTGTAGAATATAGGGAAATTCTAAGGAATTTTTCATAGGGAATGAATGAAACTAATAGGTAATTGATGGAATTGTAAGGGAATGTAAATTAAAAATGAGTTGTCCGACTTTTTGAAATATTCTCAGCTTTTGATTTTCCAAAATTCAACACTTGCGGAGCGCATCCCAACCCATGGCGTGCAAGACAAGAGGCTCTGAATCCGGCAAATTGGCGGAAGACATCAAGGTTCCGTCCTGCCAAGCGTTCAGAATCCATGACTCGTGCTCGTAGTTGACAGTGAATGTCACCAATGGTGCTGGTGGCTCCTGGTGCTCAAGGAAAACTGTCATTTGAGTATTGATTGCTTGGATTCCAAAACAGTGTATTTTATACCAGGAACATCCAGGAACTATATAATTGTGCAGTGCTTTATATCGTTTAGTGCCATTCGAAATTACCAACCCGAACTTTGCATCCTTTCCTCCTCGGCTGCCGCTGCAATCACGGTCTTGCCTTTGACTTTGGCTGCCGCTTTCGACTTGGCCGCTGTAGCCTTGGCCGGTGTAGCCTGGGGATGAGGAGCAGGCCCAGTCGCCGGAGATACAGCCCATTCCTGCGCTTGCTGTGCTGCTGCAGCGATGATTTGTCCGGGAGTCAGCGCACTGTACTTGCCGACGGGTTGTCCAAGCCGACTGTATTCGGCTCTGATCGCATCCAAACAGAGTTCCACATCGTACCTGGAAGGCTGATTTTTTTGCAATTCGAATTCTGAATGAAATTCTGAAAATTCTATGAAATTGCGTGGAATTCCTCAAATCTCTAGGAAGCATAATGAATCAATGATTTTATTTTATAAATTCTAGGAAGTCAATGCAATCCTATTTGTGGAATTCCAATGAATTCAATGACGGAATTCAATCCAAAAAATGTACGGAATCACGTGAAATTCTTGGAATGGGATTCTGCGAAGCCGATGAAATAATATGGATTTTTTTTATCGGAGTTTGGAGTTCTACAAGATTCTATATACAATTCTGAAAGGAAATATTTTGGAATTGTATAAAGTCGACGGAACTTTGCGCACTCGTGTGGAATTTATCATGGTAATTGCGGTTCAGTAGCCACAGCTCAAGCAGTGAATTCCATGAAATACCATTAAGTACCAGTACCATTGTTAAAAATTCCGTCAAATTCGATTAGAATTGTAAATTAATTAAATTAAATCCGATATGTTTATTAGGTTACACAGAATTCCGAGAATTTCATGCAATTCTATCAAGAAATCTTATTGTTGAAATTCTTTGAAATTCTCGAAATATCTTGCAATTTTTTGGAATTCGTGATTCTATGTATCCGATGGTGCCAATCATAAACTCTGTCGAGAAGCTCTGGGAGTCGTTCTCCTTCAGCAACCCCCGTCAGGAGGTAGATGTAGCTTAGGAGCAGCTGTTTGTCAGCTTGGAGACGGCGGATATGAATGTGAGTGAAGAACCCCGGTGCGATCTCCCGAAGCCACTCACACAGGTGGTGTGCCTTGAAAAGGCCGTGGGAAGACTCTGGAAAAATTGTGGAAAAGCAAGAGATGCATGAATATTTTTTGGAGATATAGATCATAAATGCAACTTTGTTGCAAATCAGAATCGTTTCTTCACATTTGATACTCCGGAATGTACAAAAATTGGATTGCAGGCGGTTCCTCACTGAGAAGCCGAAAATTTTAAAATATTTTTCTATCAACTATTTACACAATAACTTGGGACATTGGGAACTCAGCCTAACATCCTCAACATTGTTTTGCAGCAATGGCACTGGAAGTTCCCTCACCTTCAGATAGGACGATGAGTACCGCCGCGTCTGCTTTGCTCCTCGGCTCCTGTCAGACCGCATCTCGTCATCCTGGCAATTCGGCTGAAATAGTCTAAATATATATGTGATTTAAAATATCTATTGTATTGCTATATATATGTAAATCAAAATTGGTTTCGGGTAATGAAATCCATCCGGCTAGGCTGAAATTAGTTCCCGGTGGCAAAGTCAGCGGATTGCCCGTACAATTTGAAATTGAATCAGTGAGTCCCGACTGTGCATTGTTTGAGCATCAAAAAGCATGGAACGAAACACTAATTAGTTATTTTCTATATCCAACTGCGCAGCTGACCTCTCGTTCTTCACATTCAGAACGTCCACGGCGAAGCCTGAAGAACACATTTTCTCATCAAGCTAGAAGGTTCCATTCCTCCTAATACTAAACGCCCCCACCCCTATTACTGAACACGGCAGGTAGTTTTTAGTATTAGGGTTATATTTATGATCAGCGAACACTACTATAAAATTAAACCCTTAATTTAAAAATTATTTTTTCCGATCTGAAAATCAATTAAATTTCTTTATATAACGCAATTAAAATATTGCCAACAATTAGATTTCTCAGCTTCTCCCTGATATTAACTTAAGACCATTAATATTAATAATAATAAGTATAATAATAATAATAATAATAATAATATTTTTTCCGATCTCAAAATACATTAAATTTCTTTATATAACGCAATAAAAAAAAAGCACAAACATTAGATTTTGAAGCTTTCCCCTAATATCAAATTAAAACCCTTAATAATAATAAAAACTTTTTTTTCCGATCTCAAAATCGATTCAATTTCTTTATATAAGGTAATTAAAATATTGCCAAGAATTGGATTTCGAAGGTACCCCCTAATACTAAATTAAAAATCTTAATTAAAAAAACAAAAATTCAAAAAATTCAACGGGGGCGAACTAGTTTTTAGTATTCGTGTGGCCGCCAGCTCATCTTGCCATCTGAGTTCCCGACGCAGTGGTGTTGGTATCTGCGGCTTCCCCTTTGCCTTTCGGGGCATTCGCTTTCGCATTCCCGGAACCTTTGCCTTTGAGATGTCCTTTGATGACACCACCTTTGCCCTTGACATTGCCACGCTTTGGAGATGCTGGTCTGGTAGCAGGCGGCTTCGCAGCGGGAGCCACACGCACATGCTGCTTTGGTACAGGAGGCGGCTTCGCAGCCACAGTCGCACGGGGAGCCACAGGCGCATGCTTTGGTACTGGAGGTGCCTTCCTTGATGCTGCTGCCAAAGAAGGAGGGTCAGACACGGCCTTGCCTTTTCCTTTCCTAGGCGCGTTTCCCTTGATTTTCCCTTTCAAGTGTGGAGCAGCTGAAACTGCTAGAGGCGGCATTGAAGAACTTCCCTTAGGCTTGCCTGGAGCTTTCCCCGTGCCCTTTGGCGGAGTGGCACGTGGACGGCCTTCTTTACCACCCATGTGATCAGAGAGATCGAAAGTGTCTGAGAAGTGAAGCAATGCTTCTGGATGCTACAATTTGGGTTTGGATTGAACCAAAACGTGCAATTTCAAACTGTCTTCAATTCCTGTCATCAACTAAAACGGGAGCAGAGTTGCAAATGCTGGGTCTCACCCTGTAAACCAATTTCAAATAATGCCAAAACTTTTTTCATCGTGCATGGATGAAACACGGTATTAATTGAAGCTGAATCTGACTAAAGGTGAATTTACCGACAATGACTTTGACAAAGATTTTAATTGGAATCAAAAAGTTTCAATTTTCGATTCATGTGCTCGTAAAATTACTTGGCTGACTGATCTGCACTGTCGGACTGTACAGGTCAAGCTGAAGACAATTTGTCATTTGTGGCCCTTTGGGCCAAAGCAAACCAATGCTAGAAGCAATAGTATGCTAGTCTCGCGGAAATCTCTAGCTTCCCGCACAAACGAATCCGAGCGGGCATGCTCCAAGTGCGGCAACACCGTTGTGCCCATTTGCACAGCGGATTCGAAATCACATGGCCAACCCATCATCGCCAACATATCTACCGGGTTGATGAAGGCCATACAATCTCTTCTGAGTAGCTTCGAAGGACCATTTTGGCAAATGTTCAGGAGGCCAGAATCAGAATGATATTTTCCTTGATCTAGATCATACAGAAGATTTCCGTTTTGCACTGGCTCTTCTCCGAAAGCCTTCTTGTACTTGCGGTCCAAGATTCGCAATTTCTTTTTCTCGGGCTGGGTCAAGAGATACCAAACATTTGCATCATCCTGAGATCCGTGCATGTGCAGTAAATCATATATATATATATATCACTATGTTTGGTGGATGTTAATTCTCATTAATTCCCATTAAGTTCCATTAATTCACATTAATTCACATTAATTCCCATTAATTACAATTAATTCCCATTAATTACCACTAATTAGCACTAATTCCCATTAATTCCAATTAATTCCATTAATTCTCATTAATTCCCACTAAGTCCCATTAATTCACATTAATTCCCATTAATTCCAATTAATTCCAATTAATTACCATTATTTCGCACTAATCACTAACTCCCATCAATTCCAATTAATTCCATGAATTCTCATTAACTACCAGTAAGTTCCATTAATTACCATGAAGTCTCATTAATTAATTCCAACTAATGTCTATTAGTTCCCATTAATTCCACTTAATTTCCACCATTAATTCACAATAATTCCCATTAATTCCTAATAATTTCCATTAATTCCCATTCAATACCATTAGTTACAATTAATTTCCATTAATTTCAATTAAGTCCCATTAATTCCCAATAAACATAATTAATTCCAATTAATCTCCATTAAACATCATTAATTCTCATTAATTCCGATAAATTCCCATTATTTCCCATTAATTTCT